ATGAAAATTCATTATATTCTAATCTTTCGAAAATATAATCTTTTACTTTTAAATTTTTTAAAAATAATTTTTTTTTTATATAAAAAATTTTTTAATAATAAAAAAACACCCCGCCATTACTTTTTTGGGGGGCTGTATGTCTTTTAGATTTTTCCAACAGCGAAATCAGACTTGGAAAAAACATTATTGATCCCAAAGATTTGGTGGTGCCAAACCAGTATCTGATTCAACAAATTTTATCATTTTACTGGTGCAAGGTGGCTATTACGCTACAGTCTCACCGGTCACAATTAAGTGAAAGAGCATGCGAGGATTATGGAGTCTCCTCCTACACTATCCAAGTAAAAATATGTGGATATTCGGGAAATTTATGGCATTCAACCATAGATGCTACCAAAATTAAAAATATAAAACTCCCAATCCCAAACCCAAATCACAAATTATTCAAACACATTAAACCCTTTTCATTAATATCACTGCACAAATTACATGTTAATATTAATATGATATTTCAACAGTTGTTACAGATGAACATGACCAGGGAGGAACCCCTACCTGATAATTCGCACCATATAAATACATAATCAAAGAAAATCATTTTATAAGATTTTTTAAAAAAATTCGTAGACATGTCTCCAATAGAAAATTGGGAAAAATGTAATTATAATTCTATGATAATAATAAATTGATCTATATCATTATATTAATGCAGGATTTTTATTAGACGATAAACAAGCTGAAGATAAAGAAGAGGAGAAAATTGTTGGTAATGATTTTTTCGATTAAAATGAAATTACTTTTTGTTTTAATTTCATTGTGATTTTCATTTTTTTTGTTATTGTTGAAGCACTTGATGAAGGTGATATTGCACTTCTTAAAACCTATGTAAGTTATTTATTATATAATTTGTCGGTTGATTTCCAAATCTGGAATTCTTATGCACATTATCAATTTATTTTATAAGGGTCAAGGTCCATATGCAAAAGAATTGAAAAAAATAGATTCTGATATAAAAGATGTACAGAAACGAATAAATGAAAAGATTGGTAAATTTTAAATTGGAAGTTACCAGTAAAATGATAAACCGTTAAATTGGTGACTGTTATGATGATAATATTAATGATATTGTTAATTGAATTATTTAGGTGTTAAGGAATCAGATACTGGTTTGGCACCACCAAATCTTTGGGATATTCCTGCTGATAAACAAAGAATGCAAGAAGAGCAACCATTACAAGTATTATTTTATTTTATAATCGTCATTATTAATAATGATTAGTGCCAGAGAAATTTAATTCGTTAATTATCAATTTTATAGGTTGCAAGATGTACAAAAATAATTGAAGCTGGTGAGGGTGAAGAAGCAAAATATATTATAAATGTAAAGCAAATTGCAAAATTTGTAGTGGCATTAGGTGAGCGTGTTTCTCCAACTGATATTGAAGAAGGAATGCGTGTTGGGTAAAATTTATATTCTTTTTTTTAAAAAAAGAAAATCTATGGCTTAAATTATATAATGGTTTTTTCATGTGTGTGTGTGTGTGTATAGCGTTGATCGTAATAAATATCAGATACAGATACCATTGCCACCAAAAATTGATCCTTCAGTAACAATGATGCAAGTTGAAGAAAAGCCTGATGTTACATATAGTGATGTTGGTGGTTGTAAAGAACAGATTGAAAAACTTAGAGAAGTAGTGGAATTACCATTATTACAGGTAAAAGATGTTATTTTAATAATATGTATATATATGTATATATATATATATATATATATATATATATAGTAATTACAAATATTTAAAATTTTTATTTACTTAATTTTTTTCAGCCAGAGCGATTTGTAAATTTAGGTATTGATCCTCCTAAAGGTGTATTGTTATATGGTCCTCCTGGTACTGGCAAGACTTTATGTGCGCGTGCTGTGGCAAATAGAACTGATGCAACATTTATTAGAGTTATTGGTTCTGAACTTGTACAAAAGTAATTGTCATCCCTAATTTTAATTTATTAAATGTATCTGTTTTATAAGTATTAATATACTAACATTGTTTTCATATAGATATGTTGGAGAAGGTGCAAGAATGGTTCGTGAGCTGTTTGAAATGGCAAGAACTAAGAAGGCTTGTATTATATTTTTTGATGAAATTGATGCTATTGGAGGTATGATGGATTTTTTTATATGTTATAGAAAATAAATAAAATCTTTTGTTTGTTAATCAATAATCTTTGCTGGTTTATTAATAGGTGCACGTTATGATGATGGAGCTGGAGGTGACAATGAAGTACAAAGAACCATGTTGGAATTAATAAACCAATTGGATGGTTTTGATCCACGTGGAAATATAAAAATTTTGATGGCTACAAATAGGTAAGCAAATAAATAATTATTGAAAATGTTAATAATAAATATTATGATCATTATTTGATTTTACCTATTAATTCTTTTGCAAATAATAGACCTGATACACTAGATCCTGCACTTTTACGTCCAGGTCGTCTAGACCGTAAAGTTGAATTTTCTTTACCAGATTTGGAGGCATCTATTAAATTTATTCATTGTTTTACTTTATTATTAGATTTTCGTAAATATTTTATTCTTAAAAATTATTTACTTGTTATCTTATAGGGTCGTACACATATTTTAAAGATTCATGCAAAAAGGTATTTTTTTAAAAAACTATTTTTGAATTTTTTGATTATTCATTCTATGCAAATTACATATTTATATATAATGATATTTTTGTTGATGTTAATACAGCATGTCTGTAGAACGTGATATTCGTTATGAACTTATAGCTAGACTTTGTCCAAATAGCACCGGTAAGTATACTGATTGATTGATAAACAAAAATTTAATATACATTCACATTATTTATCTTACATATATATCTTAAAATAGGTGCTGAATTAAGAAGTGTATGTACAGAAGCAGGAATGTTTGCTATTCGTTCCAGAAGAAAGGTTAGGTTTATTATAATGTTTTTACTTTTTATTGGTCATTATTATTATTAAATAATAATACATATATACATAAATATATTTGTATATAGGTTGCATCAGAAAAGGATTTCTTGGAATCTGTTAATAAAGTTATTAAGGTGCGCATGAATGAAATTTTTTTGTTACATATTTTTATTTGCCAAAAATTACCATTTTGCTAATATTATATTTTTACATTATAGTCTTATGCAAAATTCTCTTCTACCCCAAGGTAACCTTTTTTAAATAATTTTGATTTCTTTTTTAAAGTTAATTTATTAATTATTAATTTTTTCTTTTTAATTAGATATATGACATACAATTAATTAGAGTAAAAAGTATGAAAAAAGTTTTTATATTAATTATTAATTATTATTAATTAAATAAATAAATCACTATTTTAAATAAAATAAACAGAATTTTACATTTTTAAATATACAATAATCCAAAAATCATATAATAACAAAATTATTGAAAAAAAATATATTATTGGTATAGTTGGCTCGGTCTAAAATTCTGGGCAAATTTTAAAAGTATTGAAGTCACTTTCTGTCCTACCTTTTTAAAAATAGCTCTATCAGTTGATAGAATATGTCTTTAGTTTTAATGTAATAGAGATTTTCTCAAAAATTATTTGTTGTAGAGTTCTATTCTTTTTTAAAACATGTACTTTACTATGCTCGCGAGGAATGATCATTTCTAAATTTAGGAAAATATTACTATCGTATCTAAATTTGGCAGTAAGAAAACCAAAATCACGTGAAGTCCTATTTTTTAAAAAATTTTATTACATTTTTGAACGAAATTTGGCCGCATGGCGCAGCAATAGAAGGTCTTTAGGCCGAGCCAACCATACATTAATCAACATGTAAATAAATTCTTAAATAAAAATCATCTTGTCAAAAACATAATAAAAAATTTCTTACCTAATAAAAATAATTGCATTTTCTATTTCCTTTTACACTAATAAATTTAAATAAATAAAAAATTGACTAAATTATATTTACATAATTTATATTTACCCTTGATTGACACCTTGAGATCTATCTTGACAATATCCAATTTTTTGAAATGGGGTTTTTGTGAATAAAACCAGCTCAATCCCAACATCATCATTAACACATAAATCAGATAAAAATTCATTATGCAGATTATTGACTTTTAATTTTTTTGTGTCTTGCTCATAACATCTCCTTGTATGTGACTGCCTCCATCCATCAAATATTCATGATGGTCATGATGTTATAATTGACATAACAAACAATTTCATCACCCAAATAGTAACAATACCAAGGCCATGCATGAATGAAACTCTTAACAATGTATGTCTACCTGAGGATCAAAAAATAATTCTCCTTCTCATTGTATAGTTCCTTATG